CATGTCTGCTGGGTGAATGGATGGAAGGAAGGGGGGGCGGTGAGAAACAGAAGAGGAGAGGGACTGAGAGAGGCAGAAGCTAAAAGAGGAGAGAGAACATCTTGAAGCTGGCACATGCCTTCCTCATGAAGGCAGCCTTACCCGGGCTCCCCTGCCCCAGTGCTAATCTGTCATTCCATCCTTGCTGCAGTGCCCCTGCTGACCATATGGGGAAACTGAGGCTGGCCGTGGGGGAAAACGGGTTTTTCTAAACTGTGGTTCTCACCTCAGGGCATTGACAAAAAACGGGGACGTTTGTGGTTGTCACAAAGTGGGGGTGGAGGTTAGTATTGACATCGAGTGAGTGGAGACTAGAGATGCTGCCCAGCACCTTGCAGTGCACAGAACAGCCCTCACCTCAGAGAATGTTCCAGAACCAAATGTTGCAGCACAGGCTCAGGATATTTGGTTCCACTCTCCCTGCTGCCTCCAGACTCTTTGATGTTGAGTCAGCTGAGCTGGTGGGTCAGCGCTGAGTCAGGGGTGGGCAGGGCCTCACCTTTCTCTTTGCTGAACCCCTTCCCATGATACACACAACTTGGGTGCCTGGAAACCCTGAGTCACAGGAATTAGCTGGCAGAAAAGGGCTCTGTCACCATAGGTGGATGCCTCCTTGGGCCCCCAGTTTCTATTCTGTAGGATAGCACTTTCTATCCTATCCTGGGAACACCTCTGCTACCCTTTGGAAGTCCCAGAGGGCTGATCCGAAACATGGCCAAATCTATGCACGCAGTGCTGTGGGACTGTGGTGAGATAAAAACAAAACCCAACCATTAGATAGCAGATGATCACACAGTTTCTAGCGCTGCCCAAAGGAATACTATGCAGCCAGTAAAAAGGGTAGTAGGCCATGCTATTAGCTGCCATGGAATCATAGCAACTCCCCACACACCTGCCCTGCACCAATCTCTTGAATATCAGCCAGGAGATCATTGCTGATTTTTGCAAGTCAATTGCCAGGCCTTTCTTCCTAGTCTGTCTTAGTCTGGAAGTTCCCCTAAAACCTGTTCAGCAAGACAGCAAAAATCAAGCTTCCACTGACAGATGGGTAACTTGGTCTTGCACATAGGAAAAGCCATGGGGACCCCTCAAATTTATTTTAAGTAATAAATACAATAAGGTAGCAAGACAGACATTCTATGCCCCCAAATAAGTTGTTATACAGTTAACAAGAAATGAGATGTACATGAAGCACGTTAGCTGGGAATTGAACCCAGCTCTCCTGCATGGAAGGTGAGAATCCTACCACTGAGCTACCACTAGAAAAGAGTGATCATGGAAAACACTTGTCATTTTAAAGGACAAAAAAAGATTTGCAGGTCCCAACAGCGCATCAAAGCAATGCACAGACTCCACTCCCCAGAAAATAAGACCAAGTGATTGGGGTTGGGATGAAACATGGACAGTGTGTACCTGCTGCTTTTCTGAGGTGTAGTGTTTCCCTCCACAGCCCAGGTCGCCAGGACATCCTGAACAGGGAAGGTATGGGTTTAGGTGCCCTGTTCTCACGTGGGTCCTGAGAGTGGGGGTGGTTGTGAGCTTTCATTTAAACTTCAATTTCATTTGTCTCTGGGTTACATTTGCCAGAAAAGCTTGCCTCCTGGGATGGGGCAGTCTCCTAATTGACAAAACCAGAAATGACCTTTTAGGATCCAGAGCAAGTTTCAACCATTGTCCCGCTGATAATTGCTTCTGGAATGTTCTCCATGGCTGGCACTGTCAGATACTGAGCAGCGTCGTGGTCTCCACTGACCAGACGGCCCCTTCCATAAGCATGACAACCCAGAAATGTCTCTAGAAGCCACCGTAGGTCCCCTGGGAGGAAGACTCATTCCCACATGGTCTTCCTAGGATTAGGAGATTCTCCTGACTCTACAGAGAGCTCTGGTAGCTTAGTGGTAAGGGACCACACTGCCATCTGAAGAGCACACAGTTCGAATCCTCTCACTGCTCTGCGGGAGGATGGGCAACCTCCTCCCGTGCAATTTGCTGCCTCGGAAAACTTGCTGGAGGGTCAGCTGTGAGTCAGTTCCGACTCCACAGGACATAACAACAGTCTGAATGACTGTGTTTCTTGACCAGCTGACGTAGTCCCAGGACATCACACTCTCTCAGAGACACTGAGTCGGGTAGAGCAAGGAGGGGCCTCACAGAAGCCGGCGGCAGGGCACCTGGTCTCCATCAGGAATTGATTCCGCGCTATGCTGAGAGCAGGGACCCAACTCAAGGGTTTGGTTTTTCCTCCCAAACACAGGGTTTCTCCCTTCTCCTTCTGCTCTGATGACTTTTGGGAACAGATGTTCTCTGTGGTCAGGGGTCACGTGCACTGTGGGCTGTTGGGCAGCATCCCTGGTCTCCACTCCCTCAATGTCGGTGTCACACGTGCCTCCCTTGAGTGTGACAATCATAACCTAACATTAACAGTGTCCCTTGGGAAGGATTAGGTTGCCAGTAGCTGCACCCCTGAGCCAGCAGCTGTTTAATGGAAAGTGAAATTTGGAATTTAAGATCAAATCCCCAAACCTCACCAGTGGCTGTGGAGTGGATTGAACTCCTGGTGACCCTTGAGTGTCAGAGCAGAGGTGCTCCATAGGGGGTTTTAGTGGCCGATTTTCAAAAGTAGATTGCCAGGCCTTTCTTCTGAAGTACTTCTGAGTGGACTCGAACTCTCAACCTTGCAGTTAGCAGCATTTGCTGTTTGCACCGCCCAGGGATGCCGGGAATCAGGAAGGGGCCAGCGCTTTGCCAGCACTGCGTGAGCCTGTGTCTCCTGCTCAAACACAGCTGGGTTAGAGGGTAACACTTTATATTGTAAACGTTGGAGGCGCTCAGAGAAACGGAAACTTAACAGCTTCAGGCTCGTTTCAGTAGGCTTCGCTGTCACCCCACACAGGCACCAAAAGGGTGCCTCCCTGCAAGCTGGTTTTGAATAAGCAAAGGGGGAAGAGGGTTTAAACCATGCATTTAAGCTCACTGGAAAGCCTGAAGACCCTTCGTGAAAGGCATTAGTCCCTTTTCGGTCTTTCTTCCCCACTGGTGCCCGAAGGCCTGGGACTGTGCCAGGAGATGTGCGTGTCTGGGGTCCCGAGGGCACTGCTGTTCCTGGGCTCGTTTCTGCAGAAGCTGCACCCCGAGGCAGCTCGCAGGCACGCACGCGTCCTGCAGCGCCCGCGGAAGTGGGCCAGCGCTATTTACTCGAGAACGATGAATCAGATTGCCATCTCCATTTCTGCTTTTTGTGGATTACCCAACGCCCTCAGCTGTTTCCAGGGGGAGGAAGCAGGGAGGAAATCCCAGCCTCTGTCGAAATGGGGGCGAGAGTGTTTTAAAAACAGGCAATGCATTAGCACGCGGTTTTCACTTTCTGGGAACTTGTGCAATGGCTAGTGGCCGAGATGACCCTGAGCTCCGAGAAAGGGGGTGGCCAGGGAACCTGCCAGAGATGCTTGGAGTGCAGGGGGGAGGGGTCTCCCAGGGGCTCTGCCGTCCCTTGTGACCCATTTGCACAATGACATGTGAGGGGAAGAGTCCAAGTGACAGCGAGTCACATACCTGCGAGCGGGAATGGGGGACACTCGGGAGGCAGACAGATATGAACTTGGCTCTAATTCCAAACTTACAGGTGCCTCGCTGGGCCTCAGTGTTTTTACTTGGAAAATTCCTGGCCCTCAAATGTGAGTTTCCCCTTTTTACTTCCAACAGCAGATTAACTTTAAAAGAATCCTATTAAAAGGCAAGTATCGTTAATTACTCTGCACCTGGGTCCAACTCATGGTGACGCTGTGTGTACAGTGCTGCTGTTGTGTTCCGCTGAGTCACCCACAGCTGACCCTCCAGCAGGCTCTCCGAGGCCGTAAGTGACTGCCCAGCTTCCTCCTGTAGAGCAGCTGGTGGGTTCAAACCTTGTGTCTTCAGGCTGGCAGCGCAGCTCCTTAATGTGAGGCTACCAGAGCTCCCAGCATGTACAGAGCAAAACAGGGTTTTCAAAGCTGCCATCCTTTGGAAGCAGATCACCACCTCTTTCTTCCAGACGCCTCTGGCAGTAGTTTGAACTGCTTCTAGCCAGCATCAAGACTAGCATAAGACAATGCACTTCAGAAACCCCAAAAGCAAGCCCTATGTGGAAGCTTCCTACCAAGATCTGAGACCCTTGTCTGTGCTAGCAGTCCAGAAGTTTGACTAAAGCCTCAGAAACTTCCAGAAGGTGGCTTTTTTTGAGCTCCAAGAAGGTTGCCACGTCAGTGAGACCTGCCCTTTCCCCAGCCCTGGGGAAAAGGAGGCAATTTAGGGCTCAGGGAATGACCTTAAAATAACCTTCCCTCAGTCTTTAAAATGCAGTGTTTAAATTTATAGGGTAACCCACACATTCCTGGCAGCTGGGCCCTGCAGCTGGCAACCCTGGGCACAGCTCCGGATGGACCCTCCACTAATGCCAACCCCAGTCCCCAAAGCAGGCAGACCACACACTCTGGTTTTTTTGGATAGATGCAAACATTTTTTTTTTTAATTAAAAAAAAACCCAGAAAAATCTTTTCTTTATAAAAACAAAACAGGCGTTCAAAATGCCCAGCGTCTTCCTATTTACATTAATACTACATCTGTCAGAGTTGCTATGTACAATATTATATTAAAAAAAATCCAGACAGTACACAGTAAGGCTGTATTTCTCACAAGGTGTAGAGCGTCGAGCGTAGACCCGGGGCAGGGGGAGACTACACTTAATTATTGCACCATTTTGAAAACAGAACTTGTCAGAGGAGGAGGTGGGGGTCTTCTTCCACCGGGCCTTCCCTGGAGGCAGGGGCCCTGGTCGGGGGACCCCGGGAGCCCTTCCATGGTCAGCTGTGCCCAGCCCTTTCTTCAGGCCTAATAAATATCAGTCACAGTCAATGGGAGCGTGCCGGCCCGTGGGACCCGCCACAGACGGCACGGGAAGGGGGGGGGGACAGGCGGCGTCCTGGCTACATGTGCCTCTTCATGTGCAGCGCCAGGTGGTCGGAGCGCGAGAAGGCACGGTCACACAGGTGGCACTGGAACGGCCGGTGGCCCGTGTGCTTACGGTAATGCCTTGTGAGCTCGTCGGAGCGCGCAAACTTCCAGCCGCAGCCTTCCCAGTTGCAGTGATAGGGCTTCTCGCCTGTGGGGAAGGGACAGGGCGTGCCTCAGTTTCCCTGTGTGGACTCAATGGCCCACTTCTGTCCCGGACTGTTCTCCCCACATCTGGATGGTGGCTACTATGGTGCACACCACGCCCTCTTGGGGTTTCTAAAATCCAACTCTCCTTAACCTCCAGAGTCCAATTCACATACCATCTTCTCAACGCTATGGAACCATTCCCCCAAGGGGTCCCCAACCTGGTTCTGAGAAACCCTATGCAGATGCTCCTACTCCCACCTCCTGAACTTCACTCTGTAAGAGTGATGTCGCTAGGGGCTCCTACTCCACCTCCTGGCAACATCCCAAAAAAGTCCCCAGTGAACCCTTAAGTGCCACACCCCCATCCTCAGCCTAACCCCAGGGGTTCCTGAACCACGCTTCAACCTCCTGAGCCCCGCCCCCAGAGGTCCCAGCGCGCCCCTCCTGCGTCCGCAGGGGTCTCTAGGGCCTCACCTGTGTGTGTGCGCAGGTGTGCTTTGAGGTGGGAGCTCTTGGTGTAGGTCTTGCCGCAGCCGGCGTAGCTGCAGGTGTGCGTGGCAGTGCGCTTGCGGGGCCAGGAGCGGCGGCCGCGCTTGGGCTTCGCCTCCAACAGCTCCAGGGGCGAGGCTGGCGGCGTGAGCAGACCGCGGGCAGCGGGCGGTGCCAGGCCCAGTGCGGCAGCCGCGGCGGCCGCGTCCTCATATAGGCCGAAGGCGCCGGTGGGCGGCGCGTAGTGCAGGCCCGGCGCGGGCGGAGCG